TGCCATCGATTTCAGTGCAGCCAGGATTTTCTCTGAAAGGAAAAGATGTTCCAGTTTTGGGTCACTTTGTGCAGTGAAAGTGAAAATTATTGTAACTTGCATTATGGTCCTAATAAGCTCCTGTAATGACATTAAAGACAAATGCTTGATAATGCTGCCTTCAGAAATTAGGTAATGTAAATTTAGGAAGAAACCCAGCCCATTCTCGCCCTCTCTCCCACATTACCAGTGTTTGTTGAGTCTGATTTTACTCAAGGGTGGCCAGAGGTTTTAATGAGTTACTCTCATGGGTCTGCCTTGCTATTTAACATGACAGAATTGCAAATCATATCAATAAAAAATCTGCTAAACTATTTTGAACTGCTCATGGAATGGGACTCTGCTGTGCTACTCCAGAACAATCATTTTGCTCAACTCCTCCCCTCTCAGGATCCAGTTATGGCTTTGGCCTAACATGACATCCCCCAGGCCACTAGCCACGTTATTTTAGATTAATTTCAGGAAGGCTACAAATAGGTCAGAAGAAACTAAGGGAATTAGCTGTTCAAATCAAAATAAAAATCAGCTGGGAGCCATATTCTCATAGACTTTGGAAGCTCTCTCCTAGTCCTTCCACACAGGCCCTCTAGCCTTTGAATCAATTTTCTCAATATCTCTGAATCTTCTTAAAAGTGATGTCATCTTTTAGGTTATGTAATCTGTGCCCAGTAACAGACCTGAGAAGATGCATTCCCTCCATTCTGAAACTACTATATAATATGGAAACTCAAGGGAAGAAAAGGACAGCATTCAGGAGAGTTTTCAAGTTTTCATTGACATAATAGTTTGAATATGACCAAATTGTCCTTTTCTTCATGTTACAGGTACAAAAACTAAAAAATGTGATTTTTTTCTGACAAAAATATGAAAAAATCCTTCACTTATTATAATCTTATTGTGATACATATCAAAACCAGTAAACCAGTTAGTTCCTTTCCTTCCCATCATAATCCCTCATATAGATTCCAAAAATGAAATATTTTGGTTATCTTAGCCTATGTGCTATTTGGAAACCAATTTATAGGAGTAGGATTTTACTGTTGTCCCAATAAACATTCGTTGTTCATAAGGTAAAATAGTTTGATCTTAAATATAGGTTACTGAATCCTGGCACCAAACACAGGGGTAGATGCTGTGCATAAAGTAGGGAAAGCTCAGCAAATTGCTCTTAGGAAAAAAAAAAAAAATCAATCATTTTTGCCTGTGAAAACCTAAAGAGGTTTTTTTTTGTCTAACACTCACAGTCTGAACTGTATTGGTTCATTTTGTTTGAGTATATGGGTTACATGGTATTATTCTGCTTTTATTCGTTCTGCTGAGTGACCTTGGGATAAGGTTCGTAGGATGTTAGTGTTCGGTCTGCTTTCTCTGAACAGTTTCTGCAAGACAAAAGTATGAAAGCCCAACTCCCCGAGTCGGTGCATGACAACGTGCCTCCATGTTCACATGGTCAAGAACCACTGACCAACCCAGATGCCCTAAAGAGTTCTCGGAGTGGTTCAAAGGCCGAGATGGTGAGAGCTTCCCTGGGTTTGACAAGGCATGACTGGAGCACCCAGGTTTGTTCTAACCCTGGCAGTACAGCTCCAGGCACAGACCACGCCAGCCTCCTGGACGGCTTATGGACTTGGTAACTACCAGACTCTGAAGTTTATAACATCATACCCAGGCAAGCTAGGCTCAAGCCAGCACAACTGTGCCTTCCTACATTGCAATCAAGCTTCCTACTGCAGGGTAGATAAGGCAGACACTTCAAAAAGACTCTATTTATATTCTGCTCTACTGGTAAATTAATTCGTTGGACCACTCATGCAAAATTGATAATGCAAATGAAACTGCTACATTTGGAACTAAGCTTATTTTTGTACTCCAGTGAACACTAGTGCATTTTATTGTTTTTCTTCCCTTTTTTTCTTTTCTTTTTTCTTTAGGTTGTTTGCCCAGCTGTAGCCCCCAAAGCACTTGTTTCAGATCTGGGGGAGGATGTCAGAGTAGTCCGCTGCTGAGCCAGAATGGTGCAGGCACTTCAAACCACTGGCTCTTGAGCCCACAGACTCATGACTAGCATTGATCTGGAACGGCTGAGTGGCTGGCTGTTTTACAGCATTGCAGCCTTAGAGAAAGCTGCTCTCTCCTCACTGCAGGGTGAGTGATAAATTCATGCAGAGCATGGACAACTGCAGGGGAAGAAATGGAGAGGCTCACTATGAACTCAGGAAGTGACCACTTATCCCTGTGCTCACTCAGAGTTACACTAATGCTCAGATGTCATGTTTGTCTAGGAGGCAGAGTAAGTAGATTAACACTTCTGTGTATACTGGATCCCCCTCTCCTCCTCATGCAGGACTCAGAGTCTCAGAACTGGTTATAACGAAGGCAGCAGCAATTACTCCATCAAAAGTCACAGTACAAGCTCAGTACAGGGAAGTGGGGATGCTCTCTCCAGACACAACGCAGCACGCTCCCCTCTGACTAGTCCATCCACCTCTATTAACTGCCTCAGACTGCCCTACATGCATTCCTGTAGTTGGCACACATACTCTTCTCCAGCGGACCAGCGTGTCCTATTCACAAGTCTTTTTAAACTTATCTAGTCGTATGCAAAAACCCTAAGAGAAAGGACACTACCTAGCAGAAGAGACAGAGAGTGGGATAATGTGGGAGAACAAAGGAGAACAGACCTTCGACAACCCCCTCTCCCAACAGTCCTCCTCCTTTAACTCTGCACAGCAACTTGCCCCTTGCACACACTCAGAGTAAGCCTAGTTCAACACTGCTCCGTCCTACAGGAATTAACACTTCCAGATCAGCACTGCTGATCTGTGCAGCGGGGAAAGATTCATGTGAACTTGCAGAGATGGATCATCTGTAGGCACTTCAGAGTAAGAGGAAGAAAGAATTCAGTGTGGTTTCAGGGAGCACAACCATTTACTCCCATGCAAAAATGAAGAAGCACTTCTCCTCCCTGTCTCCTTATTGATTTGTAGCATGCAGTGCACCAATGACAAGGGATCATCCCTTCTCTCTGCTTCCCTCCCCCATTTGAGAAGGTGGAAAACCTCCTAGTATCATACTCTCTCCGGGAAACTGCTGCTTGGGTCGAGCCCTGTTTGAAAAAAAGACTATCATGTTTGCTCTGCTGGTCTCTGCAATGCATAACAGAGTCTGCATTGCAGTCTCAAACTGCAATCCAACACCATCTGTCCCTTCCACTTGCAGAACTGCATCACTCCAGGGAACCTGCTCTTCAGGGGGGATCCGGGGAGCGCCTGGCTGTGCTGGTCCCTGGTACCCACGACAGCCAGCAAAAGGAAAAAATGCCCCACTGATTTGTATTGCGAGACTGAAACTAGAAATGGCTGCTCAGTCAAACTGCACGAGAAGCAGGACAGGGAAAGGGCGCTGATTTGCTTTCATTTCATTATTTTTTAAAACAAATTCAGTACAAGCAAGCGAATATACTTAAATTCTCTTTAATCACCTTATGGAAAGGAAGTCAAGGAGCAGAGGCAAGCAAGCACGGAGCTCTGCACTGCTGTGGCTACACATAAATCTGGGTGAGGGAGCTACTTTAACAAAGCCTAAGCCACCAACTCGCCTTTCCTGAGCGTTCTTCGATTAGAGGACAGAGAAGTAATGCAACCAAGGGACAAGACAACAGACCTGGAGATATTTCATTGCTCTGCTCAGTCTCTGACTTACTGAGTCACACCGGGAAGGACACTTTTATTTATCTCCATCTCTCTGTGCAGTTTCTGTCTGACTGTGCAATGAAGCAAATTAACCTAGTAGTGAATTCTTCAGGGCTGTAGCCATCTCTGTACAGCACCTTGCACAATGTCATCCCAAACTGCAACAAGGCATTATGCTCTGCTGTCACTGAAGCAGTCACAAATTAGAACACCAAAAAGATGAAGCCTTAAATTTGTAAAGTATGCACCAGGGCTCTCCCTCTGAGTCTGATGCTGGAAAGAGGAAACGGCTCAGCTCTACCATGAATTAGTGTTCTGACAGCTTGGTGCAATCTAGCCCTGACTTGCATGGCTGCTTTGCCTTCACATTCCCAGGAGCACACTCTGTATTAGATCATGCTCTGCATCGGGGTCTGCTCCAAAGCAGAGGAGAAATTATGGGGAGGAAGATGAAATTGCCTTGACCAGCTTTCCTTGTCCTGAAAATATGCTCCTGACATGGGCTGCAGGGAGCTTTCTCTCTGCCTTGGAGAGCATGGAGACAGCAAAAAATAACTAATTTTGAAGTTACTTGTAAGGCTGTGGCTTCACTCACAAGGAGGCCTGAAGGCTCACCCTGCATACTGGAACTCCCCTGGGAACAGCACAGGGTCCAGGGGTAGTGGGGCTCTCGCTTTTCACCAGATCTTTATGTCTTTAAACAGACACTATTTGTCCGCAGATTACTCTTTTTTCCTCTTCTCCTTAACAGAATTTAGAAAGCAAGAAGGTAATAAATACAACACCAAGCCATTTATTCAAGAGATAAGCATGTAAAAGAAGGATGCTTGAGTAAACAAATGCCACAGGTTCTGCAGATCACCTGCCTCTAGACCTTTCCTTGGAGCTGTTTCTGGACCTTTTGGGGCTCTGAGGGGGAAAGACCCCACCGTGTGGCTAACTGCCCCACTCACAGGCAGCTCTTTAACTACACACTTCCTTGCAGGGGGTCCACCTGGACTTACTCTCCTCCCAGCTCATTCATCTCCTCAGATTATATATTTTATGATTGTGAAGCAGATACTACAGTCTCAAGTGACTAAGCAACAATATGCTGAAGGCCCTCTCAGGAACCTGCTAAATGCAAAGCATTAGACTCAAGACACAATTCTTTAGCATTCACACTGGGATAAAGTAGAAGAATGGGCATCCAAACAAAGCACTTTTGTGTAATACCAGCATAAGTGGAGAAAAGATTTAGGATGCAAGTGCATCACAGCCTCTGCTCACCTCCTCCCACTGATGAATATAGCGGATGAGCCGGGAGAGCCGCAGCAGCCGCAGGAGGCTGAGGATCTTAGTGAAGCGCACGATGCGCAGTGCCCGGGCTGTCTTGTACACCTCAGAATCAATGCGGGTTTCAACAATCAAGAAGATGTAGTCCACGGGGATGGAGGAGATAAAATCCACCACAAACCAGCTCTTCAGGTACTTCATCTTGATCCTCTGTGGGTCTAGGATGATCTCCGTGTTGTCCTCCACCACAATGCCTGTTCGGAAGTTGAGGACAAGGTCGATGAGGAAGAACGTGTCCGAAACCACATTGAAGACAATCCATGGGGTAGTGTTTTCATCCTTGAAGAAAGTGATGCCCACAGGGATGATGATCAGGTTCCCTACCATCAGGAGCAGCATGGTTAAATCCCAATAAAACCTGGACAGCAAGACAAAGACATGTGAGATCAGCTATAGAGTGGGAGATCAGGGAGCCCAGGTCAACAGAGCTAATGTGCTTTATACATCTCTACTGTCATTCATTCCCTATGCTCTGCTAGTCTGCATCATGTACACAGAGTGCACAAGCTGCTAATTAAGTAATTAAGATCATAGGAACACTTATCTTCTGGCTTAGAGGGTTCAGAAAGGAATTCTGGACATGCCCACTGGAAAACTTCCATCTGGACTTCAGAGCCACCCAAGAAAAGACTGACATACTTGCAGTTACTACAGCAACTGTTAGGTAAAAAGAGAGAGAGAACAAGTATTTGGAAGGCCTCAGAGTTCATATGCCAATAAAGCTCTTTGGGGTTCAAGTCACCAGGCTCGCTGCTACTGTCTGGTCCTTCTTTAGAAATAGCTAGCACTGATAGCATTTGGATCAGGATAGAACTGGAGACCGTGCTGTGATCCACAGTTTTCAGTTTAGATTTCATGCTAAGCTAAGCTTACGCTGAGCCTGGACTTTAGGAGTTTAGTCCACACTCTGTAGATTCTTGTGTTGTACAGAAATGATCAGTAAAGCTCAGAATCATGTGCCTAGGAATATCTATTTAATTTCTAAATGAACATTTAACTACTGTTCCATGAAGCAGTCTCCAAGAAGCTTATCTTCACTTTAGTGGCAAGTCAATATTATCCAGTGGGCCTTACAACAACATTAATTTTTGGTTTTGAAGGCATACAGTCTGAGTATAGTTTCTAATTTATTTGTTTGGCATTTTTTAATATTCTCCCCAGGTATTAGTATAAAAGATACACAATCACACAGTGTTGCCACAACTCACCCAGAGTGAGGACTAAAAACTTCTCTGGGTCTCATACTTTGCTGAGGAGTCTCACAAAGGAGCCTCACGACCCAACACTGTGGTGCTCCAGTTCCCTCCAGATGTTTCACATGTAGAGATACCAACGTATTGTGGTTTCACCTTGCCAAGATTTCGTCAGCTCTACACTGTATCCTACAGGGCACCTACTGTAATATTGTGAGCTATTATAAATAACTTGTATTAAGATGCACTTGTCACAGCAAATGAGCAAAGTAGACAGAGAAAAAAAGGTTATCAGGTTTGGTTGCTTAAACCTGAACATTCAGAAAGCTGCAGTGGCTCTTCCAGTAAGTCACACAATCTAGCATAGTGTTTATATTATTATTAATCTCTTGAGTACCAAATAAGCCTAATGTCCTAGACCATAAAAAAGGCAACAGCAATTTAATGCAATGGAGAGAATTGAGCCGTCCTTTAAACCAGTCATCTCAATAGCAGAGAAGTCAACAGAGTGACTCTGGATTTACAATGATGTAATGGAAGAAACTGTTGAGTTTGCTGAAGAATGACACACACAAGCTGCTTCTCTATCTGTCTGACAGATTACAGTCAAAATCACTGAAATGTTTTAGGAGAAATAGATTTGCCTTAAAGATCCTCAAGATCTATCTTTGGTAAGAGCTGTTCAGCTTAAGCCTGGGCCTTGGACCAGACTGAGCTGCTGCAGAACAGTTATCACTACAGTGAGGTAACTACACCGATTTGTTAAACTCTCAGCAGGAAAACAAAAAGGGCAGAATATGCCTTAAAAGCCTTCTTTGTATAGATTCTTTCTCCCTGTTGAGAACATAACACTTTAAGGCACCTAAAAGCATGTTTAAGATTCCAGCTATTACACATGTACAGCTAGGGTCACAAACCAGCAGCACACCAGCAATGCTCAGAAACATTCAGCAGAGCCTGATGGGAACTGACTTCAGTATGAGCAAAGTTATCCACTAATGAGGTTTCTAAAAATGTCATCAACTCTCTCTCTTGCTCTCAAGGTGCCATGCCCCTGCGGGCAAGGTAGCATGCAATCCTTCACTTACTATAAAGGTACAGTTGGTGCTGGTAGACAGTCAGCAATGAGATTTGTCCATAGGCTTCTGAGAGCAAGGCCGTGTCACATAGTAATATGCATTAATACTGTATAAATCCATGTTGCGGTCTTCCTTATTAAGGGCCTAAGATGATGCTTGCAGCTTTCCTAGTCAATTAATCTAGATAATCACACAATAGCAGGAAGTCTGGAAGCAGTGTGTATATTATTACCGAAAATAAATAACCTCCCAGCCATCTTTAATTTGCCTCAGGGGATACAGAAGGAGATATGCACAAAGAAAATTATTTTTCCCAAGTTTCAAATTAATGGCATGAGACAGACATGGCCAGACATGCAGAGATGTGAAGGTAAGTGGCTTTCTCCAGAGATCTTTGGATTCTTGTGCCTCTTATTTTTATGCTGGCTGGTGATTTCAATACTTAGTGGCAACTGGGAACAATGACAACAGTGGTTGGGATGGCTCACAGTTAAGTCAGATGTTTTACACACACACAACGCCAGTGAAATGCTTTCTGCCTGACTATAGCACTTCCTGCTACCCCAGCCACTTACAGTGACATGGTCACACCACGCTCAGCTGTCCTGCATCCTCATTTACAACATTTCTTGCTATTCCATTTCTAAGATCTTCAAACTCACTTCACACACACTCTTCAGTCCCAGTCCCCTATTACTGCTGAACTGCCCACAGAGAATCATGGCTTGCAATGTGGGCAAAGCAAAGATGAAGTGCTAAAATTCAATGCTATGTGTTTCTTAAGCCACAGTTCTCCTCAAGGGTGTACTAGTGCCTCAAGATTATTGCCACGGGCTCCCCTCAGTTCTGACCTTTAAAGCCATCACTTACGAAACTTTTGTATCCAATGCACCCCTGCTAATAAAAGGGTATCCAAGGTGTCAGGGAGGAAATAATCTTTGGACTCTACAATGGAGGCAGAAAAAGCTGAAAACCACCAAGAATTTGGTCTGTACACCAATTCCAGCACAGGAAATGCAACTGCCTTTACAAAGTAAACTGCCTAGAAGTAAAAATTTACCTATTAAGATTACACAGCTCCTGCACGTTTTAATTTTACCCATATGAAGTATAATCTGCTCAGGATGGCATCACTAGATTTAGACTGGAAAGACTCTCAGGGACCACAAACACCTCAGAGGTCTAATATCATCCATGTGTCATTTTGTATTTACACTGAGGGACATCTTTTCATTCCCTGTAAATTATTGGCCAGAATGACTAACGGTGCATGTGATGTATGTAAGGGCAAGCACCAGCTATTAATAACCCATGTTTTCCGTACTTCTGTTGTTCCTTTCACCCAGGGATTCCACAGAGCTGAGAGTGATGAAATTGGCTCCGCGGTACCTACAAGAGGCAGACAGAGTTATTATCCCTGTCTTGCAGATAGAGAAGCCTAATGGCAAAATTAAGAGAATGGGATTCATCCACAGAAGTCTGAGGCTAAATAAGGGTTTGAACCTGAATTTGATTCTTGAGTCTAAACAGATCTGAAACTATTCATATGGCTTGAGTTTAAGAGATGCATCTCATGGACATCTTCCTCTGATACCGTTTTCTTCTTACTTCTCTTCCTGTTTTCAAAAGCTTACATAAAAAATTAATATGAATGTATTGCTTTATTATAGTTGACTCAGAGCAACTGAACAGTTCACAGCACAGGGAACTGCCAGCACTATATAATACAGATGTCTTGTTCAAACATACTTGGTTTTTATACTACATCATACTGTATGCATGCTTCTTAGATCTGAAAATCACATTTTAACACCACTATCTCTGATCTTTTAATTCCTAATATATTATTTAGTTGTAACAGAATGCGTCTGAGAATTAGTGTGGCAAAGACACTTCAAGAATACACGCTTTTTAAGCATCATTGGTGTCACTCAATTGATCTGACAGTATGAATGCTTTGTAGGTATTAGTTTGTGGTTTTTGACCAGAAAGTTAAATCATCTTTCTGTTCTGTCTAGTGCATAATGTAACAGCAGGCTAAGAATATTGCTTTCGGATGTTGTTTTTTTAATGAAATAAACCTTGATTTTTCAAAACTATTCCATGATGCAGTGTAACCAATTATAGTACATGAGCTCAGGAAGGACTGTGACCAATTGGAGAGACACTAGTGAACTGCAGAGGTTAGACCCGTCAGCATCGCTGTGTCAGTACGGCAGTCAAAACCTGCCCGGGAGTGGGGCACATTTGTGGCCTTAACTTCTGTTCTTGCTCTGTAGTGTTTGCACTGTCAAGAGAAAATGGACTTGAGCAACCTCACCTCTAAATTAAAAAAGCGTTTTGGATGTTTTCAGCTTCTGCTGAAAGGCAGCCAACTCTGGGTTGAACTGAGGCGCTGCCTGAAAGTGCACAGAAAGGAAGCAAAGATAAAAATGCATCTAACTGAAAATGCCAGGGAGCCAGGATATTCTCACCAGCGACAGAATGTAGCTCAGACACTGTGGCCAACCTTCCTAACCTTACAAGAACAGATCTTTAATGAACGTATCTTGCTAAAACCCAAACCAATGACAAACCCAACGGCTTTACCAAGCCCAGGCAGGAGCACCGGCTGGGTGCTGACTCAAGAAACAGAGTGCCACCTACTGAGTCACAAATGACATCCTCAGCCTCTGCTTTCCATGGGGAGGAACTGCTACATTATTCCTGCACAGAGCTGATGAAACTCTGCCCTTTTCTCCGGAGTGCAGCTCCCTTCCCGCGCCTGGGCTGCATGTCGAGTTCCACACTGCTGCGCTCACCACCAACTATCCTGACAGGAAGGAGGTCGCGCTTTAATTCCCAGGACTGCTAGTCGGGCTAGAAATAGAAATCATCTTCTGTAAAGAGCATTAGTGGATGTCAGTGTGGCTGGAGCAGCAACGGTAGAAGGAAAGTTTAGTCCAGAAAGCAGCTATTCACATGGGTATCTGAACACTGAGGAGAGCGAGAGAGAAAAAGCAGGACAACATCCTTCCCTGTCTTTGGAAGCATTACTTCTCCCAGAGATGAGTAGGCGTATTTCTACTGGAGAGTTACAAACTTTG